TTCTGTCTAATTAATTCTTTTATTGTGCACCGGATAAAGAAAGACAAAGGCCTCCCCGGCAATAATGATTCATTAAAATGCAGCGCCTTCGCCCGCTGCTCTTGGCCGCTCACCAGCCCGGCTGCTCTGCCCGGCCCGCAGGCGCTACCGCTGCACTCCCACCGGGCCGCGCGCCCCTTAACCCTTTGCAGGGACCGGCGGGCCTGGCTACCGGCCGGGCGTGTGGTCCCACCTCGGCTTTGGCTTTGGGGTTGGGGGACCTGGTGAGCGGAGTGGGGGGGCTCCCGCAGCCGCCCAGGCTGTTCCCGCTCCTGTCCTGTCGGGGAGCCTCTCGGAAAGGCCTCGGGAAGTGTCCTGCACTTTCCCACGGCAGCCAGCCTCGGCGGGACTGAATTCTGGCCCCGGCCCCTCTGGGAAGGCTGGGGCTGGTGGGGCTGCTGGTGGGGGGGTGCACACGGGACCCCCCCCCCCACAGGGCAGCCCAGCGTGGGTGGGGGAGGCAGGGGGTCTGCGCTCGGGGCAGCCAAGGCAACAGGTCACCGCGAGGGAAGGGGGAGAGGACCCCAGGGCTCCAGGGACAAGCCCGCCAGCAGGACGGGGCAGGGAGGGACCTGTCACGTGTCTGTGTGCTGGCCACGGCCATGCCAGCTTCATCCTCGGCCGTCACTGTCACATGGTCACGGGAGGAGGCACGTAGAGATCAGTGGCGAGTGGCAGAACCTCCAGCCACTGGGTCACAGCCAGGTCCTGAGCTCACGGAGCACCCCCAAACACCGCCGGGCAGCCAGAAGCCCCCAGGCCAGCAGGGAACGCAGGAGACCGGGAAACCCTCAGGGCCCCGATCCCCACTCTTCCTGGGACAGAAATGGGCTGGGGGTGGGCAGTGCTGAGCTCGCAGCTCCAGGAGGACCCTCACCTGAAGGCAGATCCACGCCTCCCGTGTCTCCCCCTTTCGCTCCTTCCCTTCCCAACTTTTCTCCTCGGAAGGCTCCCGCGGCCCCCGGGGCGCCCCAGGGCCTCTACGGCCCCATCCTGGGAGGACTTGGTCTGCACATCTGCTCTCTCCAGGATGTAGGACCCCAAACGCAGGCACACTTTGGCCCAGAGGGAGACAGAGGAGCAGACACCGGGGTGGTTATACACTGCCCTCCCTTGGGAATGGGTCCTTACCGAGTCCCGGGGGGCAGCAGCTCTGACCCCCAGCCTTGGGGTGTGCACCTGGGGTCTCCCTAGGGGTGGGAGGAGGGGATCTTACAGCACTGGCTCATGGTCAGCCCCAGTTTCCATGAAGCCTGGTGGAATGTATCCCAGACGGGTGTCCACACAGGGTGCTAAAGACTTTAGCGTCCAGTGGCCTGGAAACAAATCGGTTCAGCCCTGCCGTGTGGCCCACGGCTCCTGCAGCCCTGGTCAGCCAGAGACGAGGTCCATAAAGGTCCTCTGTCCAGGGCTGACCTGGAGGCCCTGGGCCAGACATTGGAGGGGGAAAGATCGGGGTCCATGCACCAGGCCACGACCCTGAGTCTCACACCTGCCCTGGGGTGCTGTCCCCTAAATGCGAAGCAGGCAGGGTGGGTGTGGAAACTGCCCCCCCTCTCCCCTGGGCAGGCCTGAGGAGGGGGGCCCCGGGTCTCCCCCAGGCAGCGGCTCAGAGACACAGGCCTCCCCGGAGCTGACAGCCACGCCGGCCGTGAACTCACATCCAAACAGAAAGTCTGCTCCTGAAAGCCGATCCGTCGTCCCAGGAAGAGCAATTATACGCGGAACCAGGAGGGGCTTTCCCAATCTATCAGAGCAGGGTCTGGGTCATAAACGCCCTTTCCCCTTTGTCTCTGAATAGGGCATTCTGTTCAGCTGAGGTCAGAGGCAACGCACTCAGCTCTGGGGAAGGAAATGAAAAATGAGGAACTTTTCCCGCCAGCTCGTCCCCAGGATGGGCCGACGGAGCGCGCTCAGTGGGAACTGGGCTCTGGACAAGCTTGGACTTGGGGCCCGGAGGGGTGAGGGCAGCCTTGTGAACAGTGTTGTCTGGGGGGAGCTGGCTGGAAAAACCCTCACGAGCCTGCGGACCAGGGCAGTCCCAGGGACCCCTCCCAGCTGCCCTGACCCCCGGGGGTGTCCGCCTCACCACCTCCTCACAAGGCCACTGGGGACCCAGATTTTGGGGAGCCGGGGCCCCGTGACCCCCAGAATGCTTGGCTGTGGGCTCAGCCTCCAACGTCTGAGAGTGCTGTGGAGGGGAGGCCACCAGCCTGGCCCCCGGGGAGGGGTGGGGCGTCTGGAGAGGAGAGGACAGGTGGTGGCTGTCACCGTGAGCTCAGACGCAGGGAACCCCCAGGGAGGCTTGCCTGGGGCACAGGGGCCAAAAGGGCCCTCGCACCATCAGGTTGGTGGGAAGAGGGGCCGGGCCTCTGGGGAGTTAACACGCAGGAGCCCCTCCGAGTCCAAACAAACCTGGAGGGACCCCAGCCCTCGAGAACCCGGCAGGGCCCGAGTCAACCCCAGAGCGGCAACGGGGCGGCCTCACTCCCTCCATCAGGGAGCCGGCTGCAGGGGCTTTCCTTGGTTTGGGGTGTCCACGTGAGAGCCTGGAGGCCCATATGGACCTGGACGGCCCTTGGCTGGATGCAGGATGTGCTGGACTGGCTCCACAGGGGCATCCGTGAGCCTGGCTTGCAGCCCCCTCCCAGACCCCGCCTCGCCCCGGAGGCTTGGCACGCCCCAGACCTCACGAACCCTCGTAAATCCGGGCAGCTCTTCCCAAACACTACTCTTGGCAGGCCCCGGACGTGGCTCTCCAGCGCGGGGTGAGGGACGCGCCCTGGATCGCAGCCACGCGGGCGGCTGGCAGACGAGGGGACGGCAAGGGCGCCCCCCTACCCGGACCACCCCGTTAAACTCACAGAGGGAGTTGCTTCAAGTAGCTGGCTTCTCGCGAGAAGTGTGAGCTTCCTCTCGGGCCCGGAGATGCCCCAGAAGCACCTGCAGGGCCTGGAGGTGGGTGCCCCCAGCCCCACGCAGCCCCTGAACCAGCTGCGGGGAGGCCCGGCCAAGGGGTGAGGCTGCCCCCTTGCTTGCGGTTGCCCCCCACAACCATCCCTCCCTGCAGACACTCGGCCAACCAGACGGCCCTGCCTGGTTCTCGCAGGACAGCTTTCACCCAGCTCCCAGCTTGGCTCCGCGCCAGCGCCCGAAAAATGCCGCCAGCCACCCAGAAACCCGCTCTGGGATTCGCCTGGGAGGAAACCATGGCCCCGAATCTGGACCCGCTTTGCCTACTGAATAGGCCCCTGGGGAAAGAAGACACTGGCGGCATGGCCGGCTTCCTGGGGCCTCTGAGATCCGTTCAAATCCAGACACAGCCCCTGCAGGGGGCGTGGGGGGGGGGGGAGCCTGGCTGTGCCCCAGGGTTGAAGCGTTGTCTCTGCCTTCCATGGGGCTCCGGATGCCCACATCCTCTGAGGAGGGCTCAGGGTAGACTGCACTCCTGCCTCCGCCAAGGCCCTCGAACCAGACCCCGTTCTCTCGGAGCCCCCGTCCGCCAGGCTTACGGAAAAGCAACACACAAAACGCAGCCTGAGTAGATAAAAAGCTTTTTTTTTTTTTTTTTTTAATTTTATCAAATTGGTCTGTACAAAAGTTAGCGTTGCTTGGTCAGAAAGTAGCCGAACACAGCAGGTAAGTGACAGCGGAAGCCCAAACTCCACGCGGAACAATGGATTTTGCATAAAAATGAGTTTGCTGTAGTTCCCTGCCCCCACCCCCAGAAAGAGATATGCAAAACAAATTCTTTTTTTTTTTTCTAGAAAAAGGTAGGAAAAAGTAGAAAAAGTAAAAAGAAGCAACTTCTCGGATGTCTTCAAATGTACAAAGTTTTAAAGGCACAAGTTTCCATGAAGTAGGCGATTACCGTTGGTCGGCACGCAGCGGAAGCAGGTACGCATCAATCGGGTATTATTCGTCTAAAGCTAAGACTCTAAACACTTAGTGGAGAAGGTTTTAGTTTCACAGCTTGTAGGTGGCGTCTGGGTCCTAAGAGCCGAGATTCATGTGCCTCTCCAGCCACCCCGTCCCCGGCTTGGCACCGTTGTGAGCAGGGGTGGAGCCCAGGGACACCCATGCCCTCTAAGCCTCGACCTCACACGGGTGCCACGGCACCCCCAACCCGGACACAGACACGACGAGGCAATCCCTTCTCCCCGCTCAGGGTCCCGGCCACCTCCCCGGGACCTGGAGCCCCAGGGCCCCCACCCCGCGCGTCCTCCTGGCCCTGGAGCTCAGCAACCCGGCCTCCGTTTTGTCTGAAATCCTACTTTCTGCACAAATTACTTAATTAAAGATAAAATAATACAGAACATAAATACGTTTCAACAGCTTCCAAAACAAATCGAACGTGTTTAAGCTTCAAAAACAAAACTTAAAAAATAAAATAAAATAAAACGAGGGAAGCGTTAGTCCCAGCCAAACCTGGCTGGGTAGAGCCTGCGTTGTGGGAGCCCCTCGGAGCTGACGGGCTGGTCCCGAGAGGTGCTCCCACAGACTCATTCTCGCCAGGCTGCGGATGCCGCTGGTCCCGTGGGCTCCCGGCGCGAGGCTGGCGGGGACCCTGGGAGACGGGCGGCCGGAGCCCCCGCGCCTCGTCCCTCCTTTTTGTTTTGTGCTGTGGCTGCCTCGGGTCCACTGAGATGCAAAACCAAGGGGCTGCTGTCTGCAGGGAAGAGGGCCCGACGGCCGTCCCCCGCGCAGTCACCAGTCACCGCCAAGAGCCAGCGACAAGGAAAAGAGGGCTTTGTTGGCCGAAGGGAGCGGGGAGATCTGGAAGCAACGGGGCGTCGGGCTCCAAGCGTGGCTGCCCGCAGACGTCAGCAGGCCCTTGCCTGGAGCCGCCGTCTCCTTTCCCTCTGCCTCTGCACCCCTTCCGGAAGACCCGAGGCTCTGTCTTTGCTGAGATAAAGGTTCTCCCTCTCCGACGCCAGTCTCCCCCACGGGCCACGGCGCCCTCAGGGTCTGCTCAGGGTAGTATACACAGGCTGGTCCCAGTTGCCGGGCGGGCTGTGGGCGGGCGGCACGGAGAGGCCGCTGAGCAGGGGCGAGGCGTAGGGCCGACGGGAAGGGTGGAAGTAGGGGCACTGGTAGAGGCTGGACGGGCAGCCGGGGTACGGGCTGTAGTAGCTGGGGGCCTGCAGGTCGGCGTAGTCGCACTGCGAGCTGGCAAAGGAGCTGGCGGCCGCGGCCGGGGCCGCCGTGGTGACGCTGGCCTGGCCACTGTAGGAGCCGTAGTCGGCGCGGCCTGGGGAACCATGCGACTGGTCGCCGTAGTGGCTGGGGCTCAGCTGCTCCGTCTTGATGTGCGGCCGCGGGGGGCCCGTCTCGGTGGGCGACGCTGAGGCCGACGGGGCTCCCTTGTGGGCCCACACAGGGGACGCCCCGAGGCCGGCTGCCCCCGAGTGTGAGTAGGAGGCGCCCCCGTAGGAGCCGGCGGCGGGCTGGCCGGGCTCCGCGGGCAGGGCCGAGTGGCCGTTGAGGGGCAGGTACTGGTCGAACTCGTGCACGTCGAAGGTGTCCATGTTGCCGATGACCTCGCTGCTCAGCTCTGAGATGTCCACGTTGCTGAAGTCGATGTTCTGGCGCCCGCTGTCTGCCAGACGGCGGCCTTCCGGCTTCAGCTCCGGCTTGCCCCCGTGGTGCAGGTCCGTCTTGGGGGTGGTGGGCGGGGTGGGCGGCCCGTGGGTCTGCCCTGGGGACAGAGCACATTTCAGGCATGAATGCTCCTTCTGTGGGGGGCCGGCCGGCTGGCGACGCACACCCAGGAGGAAAACCAGCCCGCCGACTGCCGCAGGTAGAAATCAACGGCTTTTTGTTTCTGTACGTTTCCCAGAAATTCCAGCAGAGCCAGACCCAGACCTCACTGCTCGGCCGAGGAAATTCCGTTAAGCGCTGTTCTGCAGGAAGAGCTGGGCCACGGAGGCCCCCACGCCTACCCCAGAAGACCAAGATGGGGGAAAGGAGAGGAAGTGCCCGGCCCCTTGCACGTGACCACAAGGCCACGCACACAAAGCTCACTCTCCCCCAGGCTCACGGCGGTAGCCAGCTTCCCGGGGACTGCTCGGCTGGCCGGGGCTCCCCTCCAGCCCGTCTGATCTTGAGGCTGGGCTGCTGACCACCGCACAGGGGACACGAGTGAGTGCTGGGTCAGCACCCGCAGAAAGGCCAGGGGAAGCAGAAACGCCTCCAGGCGGAGCAGAAAACGCCCACGTCATGCGGCACCCGACCAGGGAAAAGTTGTGAGAACGTCAGGGCTCAGAGGGGGCTAAGCAAACCCCCGTGTGCACGGGGGACCTTGGGGCGACACGGACACCAGCCCTGGGAGCGAGCCCCTGCTCCCCACCCCACTGCTCATCTCACAGCGGATGCCAGACCCCCCACTTCTCCTGCTGGGGCAGGCAAATGCTGTGGGGCCCCAGGCGCCCACCTGTGTGGTCGCCGTGGTGGTGCGCGTCACCGAGGCCCGCGTCCGCCTTGTACACGGCACCGCTGGGATGGGGGCCCAGCTCGGCTCCGGAGTCAGAGTCGCCCTGGCCTGCTTTCACGCTCTTCCTGCGGCGCGGCTGGTACTTGTAATCCGGATGGTCCTTCTTGTGCTGGACCCGTAGCCGCTCCGCCTCCTCCACAAAGGGGCGCTTCTCACTTTCGCTCAGCAAGCTGCAGCACCAAGGGCAGAGGTGGCACGGTGAGGGCACCCACGCCGGCCCCCTCCCCCGACGCCCACAGGGAGGCCTGTGTGTGCCCCCGCACCTCAGCAGGCACCAGGCAGGCGCCCCCCTTTCTGAGGACGGGGGCTCGGGCCAGTGAGGACTTCTGGTGAGGGTCAAAGGAACGTGCTGGAACGAAACCCAAAGCTTTCCATCTCCATCATCTTCTTACTTCCCTCTGCCCCCAGACTGTGTAAGTCCCCTCCCTTTGGGGCTTTCTAAGGCAGGCGGGGGAGGAGGCAGAACCCAGCTGAGAACACACAGTGGATCAAACGAGCGGGGAGGGACTCCGTGGGCATCTGGGCTTCCCAGACCTCCGGGAACACTGGCTAAACCGGTGGTCCTCGCTGGGGCTCACAACACACGCCAGGCCCCTCAAACCCTTCCAGGAGCTCACCTCCAACTGCCTGTGGGACAGGGCACAGAGGACATCCGCGCAAACTCCCAGGGCCCACTCACGAGGAGAGGGGCAGGAGACGGGAACCGGCGCCCGGAACCCAAAGCCATCCATGTAAACCCAAGGAGATCCCCCCCCCCCCC